TTCCAGTGAGCGATAGAACCTCTTTGATTCGTTCAAAATATGCTATTTTGTAGTTTTCTTTGATGCGACTCTTTATATCGCTTTAGGCGATTTGCGTATACAGACAACCTTTGTTGGAGCTTATCGAGGATCTGTATCGGATTTTGATTATCCTCATCATGATGTCTCTGGGTTATTGTTGTGACTTTATTTCGCAACCGGTTCTGATTGATGTACTGAACAAGGGGGCCTATAGCTGCTCGTAGATCTTTTATTTTCCCTTCGATCCTCATCTGCCATCTGGGTTTTTGTTCAGTATGCTTGTATGATTGCTTTATCTTTTGATGGTGCAGTTCAATCACAGTATAAGCGCCGGCATAGATTAGGTCATGATAATCAGTTATACCGGTTATGTCACACAACTTGGTCGTCATGAGATGATTTACTCTATTCAAGATATGAACAGTATTCTTATTTGTTCTCAACCGAGGCAGTCTTGGTCTCAGAAAAGGATCTATGCCTTTGAACAGTATTAAATTCCTTTCAAAACATGTTTTCTCTTCAGTTTCTATCTGCCTTATATTTGTGCTTTCACTGCTGGTATTTGCTGTATCCTCTAGCTCGCGTGATGGTTCAGCCTGTCCTATTCCGAGTTCCATCTCCACTTCTCTTCGTATCCGGTTCACTTTATCTATCGATATCCTGTTCGTCGTAAAGAGATGTCGTCGGGTCCAATATGTTCTGACGTGTTTACTTGCTAGATCAGGAAACCTTCCAATCATGGTTTGGTAGAGTTCGACGCTATAGGGGTCCTTTGAGTTTCCATTTTGGTGATTTGAGGTGGTAGGTACGGTAGAGGTATTCATTCATTTCATCACTCCATTTCATCCGTTTCCTACGACTATTATCCTCTTGAGTGGGACGAGCAATTTGCTCGGCAACACTTTCAGAGCTTCGATGTAATCGTTGTTCCATTTCCATCGCCTGTGTGGTGGTAGGTCCAATCCTCGGGTCAGTGCCACCTACTTCACTGGATCCCAAGACAGGCATATCCTCCTGACGCTTCCGAACAGAGTCAGCCTGATTCTCTGCCACGCCCAAAACTGTATTCCTTCTCGTCTTTACAGCGGTTAGAATCACGTTCTACGGGGTGCTAACCCATAGAGCGGTAATGCTAGTTTTGTCCACCCCAGGTATTTTATTTCCCCGGTACCCTCCATATCTGGAGAGCGTTTCCCAATTCGCACAGGGAGGCGCCCGATGGGAGACTAGCAACTCCATTTATTATTATTATTATTATTATTATTATTATTATTATATTATTATTATTATTACTATTATTATTATAATTATTATTATTATTATTATTATTATTATTATCATGATTGTTATAATTATTATTATTATTATTATGATTATTTTATTATTACAATTATTATTATTGTTATTATTATTATTATAAATATTATTATTATTATAATTATTATTTTATTATGATTATTATTATTATCACACCATGCCAACCACTTTTTAGGAAACATCGAATTTTACCATTACCAACCATTTTTATATATGAAACGCTTTACATATTCATAAAAACCTCCATAAATATGTAACGCATTCCGATGTTCATGATCATGATACCAGGTCAGCAAATAACCTCAGCGTTCCCTTTTCTAGATTACGTTTATCCAAGTTGAACAAGCCGGATGTCACATTATACAATTTATTTGTGAACTGTTACGCAGAACATGATGTGAAAATATGAATTACTACAAATTCAATAGACTATTGAAGAACTTTCTCTTAGAAAAGTGTTTTTACAGTGTCGATGATTATGTTAATTGGGTAACTATATTTAAAATACAAAAATCTGTGACTTCAAATGTACAATAATGTATGTAATTAGTCAATAAACTAAACTAAACTAATTATTATTATTATTATTATAATTATTATTTATTATAATTATTATTATGATTATTATATTAACTATTATTATTATTATTATAATTATATTATTATTATTATTATGATTCTTATTATTTATTATTATCATTATAATAATATAATAATTATTATTATTATTATAATTATTATTATTATTGTTATGATTTATTATTAATATTATTATAATTATTATTATTATTATAACTATTATAATTATTATTATTATTATAATTATTATTATTATTATTATTATTATAATTATTATTATGATTATATTATTATTATAACTATTATTATTATTATTATTATTATTATTATATAATATTATTATTTTATTATAATTATTATTATTATTGTTATGATTATTATTAATATTATTTATTATTATTATAACTATTATTATATTATCATTATATTATATATTATTATTATTATTATTATGATTAATATTAGCATTATAACTATGATTATTATTATAATTATTATTATTATTATTCTTATTATTATTATTTTATACTATTTTACTCCTCTGTCGAAGGTATTAATATTTCCCTCAGGCGGTTAGCCAAAGTAAGGAAATAGATCTGCAGCGGTCTTTTCACCGTATCCGGTTCTCATCTCCTAAAACCCTACGTACTGTCCTACATGTTCCCAGCAGTGCAGCTTTTTGCAGTTGCAAGTATATTTTTGGATGGAGCTGTAGCTTTTCCAGACTCTTGTGTAGTTTCCTTGGTATCTCTCCAGTAGCTCCTATTATAACTGGTATTATAGACACATTGCCCATTTCCCACATGCGTTTGATTTCGTCGGAGAATGGCAAATACTTATTTGATTTTTCCGCATGGGTGGTTTGGATATTAGTAGGAAGAGGCACAGCTATGTCTATTATAAACATCGTTCTTTCTTCTTTTAGTGTGAGCACTATGTCAGGAATATTGTTGGGGATGGGCCTGTCAGTTATGATTTTACGGTTCCAGTACAGCCTAGAGGTCTCCGTTTCTATCACAGGTGGCGGCGTGTATTTATAGTAGGGATGTGTACCAGTTTCTCCTAGATGCTTTTTAGCCAAAGCTTGATAAAGTATTTTGGCCACATCATTGTGCCTTTCAAGATATTGTTTAGGAGCTAAGGGAGAGCACCCTGCTACTATGATCTATGTGCTCATCTTTTTCCCCACATATGCGGCATCATCTGATATCGTCAACGTTCTCATGCATTATACGCTTTCGGTACAACTTTGTTGGGACTACCTGATCCTGGATGGAGGCTATGAAGCCCTCCGTCTCCAGGAACAGATTACCTGACTGCAACCATCCTTGGGAAGCCTTCGTGTCAATGGCGTTGTCTTCTATGCGGCTCCTATACCGACCATGTAGTGGTTTGGCTTTCCATTGGCGAACCAAATCCTGCATTGGGGTTATCTTTGCCTCAGGGTCGAAAGATTTTTCTGAAAGGTTTAGTGGTGTCAACTTTTTATCCGTCTGTGTTATTGCTTGATGCATTCTGCTGGATGTGGCTTTTTGGAGGAAGTACTGGCGTAGATTGTCCACTTGGCGGTGATGTAGTGTAGGTATGCAAGGTATTCCTCTGCCACCCTCACTTCGTGGTAGATGGAACCGCTCTATGGAACTATGTGGGTGGTGTCCCGGTATTTACGGAATTCTTTTTCTGGTTTCCACATTAAGTGCGTTCAGTTCTGTATTCGTCCAGTTCAGTATGCCAAACGTATAGGTAAGGACCGAAGTAGCGTAGGTGCTGACAGCAAGTGCTGTATTACGAGCTGACAGACTTGTTTTCAGCACCGCCCTCAAACGTGTTCTATAGTGCTCCATTGCCTTTCTTTTGCAGCTTTCTGGTCTATGCCCGGCGCTTGTAGATAGCCTAAGTTTTACTGTTCATCTTGCTGCATTCCTTCAATTTTCCCTTGCACTTGGTTCGGCTCATATCCTGAATGTTTACTCCACTGGCCTTTTACCATGCAACTGATCTTGCACTTGTCTAAGCCAAACAGCATCTTGATGTCAGTGCTGAATTTACTTACACAGTCCAGAAGCTTATGAAGATGTTCTTTGGTTTCTGCAAAAAGTTTGAGGTCGTCCATGTACCAAAGATGTGAAATGCGTTTCATTGCCACCTAACAGTATTCCTTTCTTTTGGCTATTTAGCATTGTTGTTAACGGTCTAAGCGCTAAGCAGAACCATAGCGGACTTAAAGAGTCTCCTTGAAATATTCCTCTCTTGATGGATACCTCTCCGGCACTGAATTGCGTATCTTGGGTGTTGAGATAGAGCCGTGTCTTCCAATTCGCCATAGCATGTGCCAGAAATTGTTTGATGTGGCACTCGATCCCATAAAGGTCAAGCACCTCTAACAGCCAAGAGTGAGGTATACTGTCAAACGCTTTCTGATAATCGATGTATGCAATGTACAGGGGTATTTTTTCTTTTTGGCATAATTAGTTATGACAGAGTCTAACAAGTTGCTCTTTACAGCCTCGAGACCCTTTTCGGCAACCTTTTTGCTCTTCGTCTAGTATAGTATTCCGCTCTAGGTGTGATATATCTTTTCAGTAATTATAGCAGTCAATACCTTGTAAATAGTCGGCAGACAGGTGATTGGTCGGTATTTTGCCGGATCGTTCGAGTGATCGCCGCACTTTGGGATTAAAATATGTTATTCCCATTGTTAAGAACTCTGGCAACATATCTGGTTGCTCTAGATTGAGGTTGTAAACACTTTGCGAGTCGATCGTGAGCTGAAGTGAACGTTTTTAGCCAATAATTCTGAAGCTTATCTGATCCTGGGGCTTTCCAGTTTGGTAATTTTCGTAGAGTACTTACCACGTCATCTAAGCTTACTTTCCAGTCGAGCATGGTCCTAAAAGTTGAATTATTTGCTTTCTCTTGGCGGTACCATTTAGATGTGGAATGATTGATTGGATTGCTCCAAATTCCTGACCGAAGGTATTGATGGCATCTGAGGTAGGAATCTAAACGTTGTTCTGATCTGTATCCCTCCGTCGCGCTGCAAGTTCCTGTAAAAGCCTCGCTGATTGGTCTCGAATGCTCGATTTTGTTTCCGGCGTTCGTTGCTTTTCTTGTACCTTCGAAGTCGCAGTGTAGCTGCTAGTTTTTGCTTCAGGTAGTCCAAGACTTCTACGGCTGTTGGGTTCTCCTCCGAGCAGTGACGGTTTATCACATTCTCTGCGGATCTCTTTACTCTCAGACTACAGTCAGACCTCGGTACTGGGTGAATATTGCTATGTCCTTTCTAATCTCCTCTATATTACGCGATATCCTCATCCCAGGCTGGCAGTTTTCTGTTTTCCTTACACATGTTCGCCAACACTCTCTGTTCATTTAATTTTAGGACTGTAAGTGCTCCAATGTACAACAGGCTATGGAGCTCAGTCAAGGTTGTATCTTCTGTAATCTCGTTATCTATTACTTTGTTAACTTCAGCGATATACTCAGATGTATGGGGTTTATTATTAGCTTTGGTAGGCTTGGTTAAGAGTTGGTTCCACACCATCTACTTCATGAACAAGCCCCTGAACTCATCTGCGTATTTAGATGGTTGGCCATCGTTTATCTCAATTTGTTCTTGGTTTTCTTGGCTCTTGCGGAGCTTGTACCTGCATTCCTAATTTCTATGGGATCTCGTCTCGGATTTGTTATTTATTATTATTATTATTACAATATTATAATTATTATTTATTAATTATAATTATTAATTATTATCATTTAACTATTATTATTATTATAAATATAATTATAACTATTATTATAACTATTACTATTATTATAATTATTATTATTATTATGATTGTTATTATTATATTTTATGATTTTATTATTAAAATCATAATAATATTATTATTTTATTATTATAATTATATTATTATTATAACTATTATTATTATTATATTATTATTATTATAATATATATTATTATTATTATTAAATTATTATAATTATTTATATTATTTATTATTATTATTATTATTATTATTATATTATTATTATATAATTATATTCTTATTATAATTATAATTATTATTATTATTATGATTTTTTATTATATTATTATATTTTATTATTATTATTATTATTATATTTTATAATTATTATTATTATTATTATATATTATTATTATTATATTATTATATTATTATTATATTATATATTATTCTTATATTATTATTATTATTATTATATTATTATTATTATATTCTTATTATTATATTATTATTATATTATTATTTTATTATTATTATTATTATTATATTATATTATTATATTATTATTATATTATTATTATTATAATTTACTATTATTCTAATTATACTATTATTATTATTTGTTATTTTCCACAGCCCTATCTATTCAACTGGTTCTGTCCATGTGGGCCGGTTTTGGTTGGTCATTTTCATTATGGTACTTCGAAGATGTTACCCACATCCTAACGAAGTCCATTACCTTATAGTGTCTTACGTAATATGGTTGCTGTACCATACAAAGCAATTTCCTGCACGTCTGCTGTCCTGTGCCTTCCTGGTATGAGATTTAGGTTTTCATGTAGATTGTCTGGGATCGTCCCTAATGCACCTAAAATTACGGGAACTATCTTCGTCCTCAGATTCCACATTCTTTGGATTTCAATTGAGAGATCTTTGTATTCAATTTCTTTTCAGCTTCTTGTTTACAACGTTTTCATCGTTGGGGACTGAAACATCTATTAGCAGGCAGGTTTTGTCACGTTGGTTTTTGACGATTATGTCTGGACGGTTCGCGGATATCTCACGATCTGTTTGCACTGGTAAGTCATATATTATGGTAATCTCATCTTTACTAACTACTGGAGTGGGATTGTGATTATACCATTTTTCTTCCACTGCGATCCCAAAGCTTATACAGATGGCATGATGCAAGTATATGCATATTTTATTATGTCGGACCAAGTACTCGTGCTTCGCCAGTTGAGGACAGCCGGATATAAGATGATCTATTGTTTCTGAGTATTGTTTGCACATTCGACATCTATCATTTGCTGTTATTTTGAGGATATGTTTCTCATAATGTCTTGTACGTAAGGCCTGGTCTTGGGCGGCCGTTATCAGGGCCTCTGTTTCACCTTTTACCTTCCCTCTCGTGAGCCACGCAAACGTTGGCATTCATTAATCCCTGGCCTCTTAATTCTCTTCACGTATTGACCATGAAGCTGCTTTCGTATCCATTTATCCTTCAAGGTATTCCTTGTCATGGCCTTAATATCTGTAGACAGTAATTCTTCTTCATCCTCGACCGCTTGATTTTCTATTTCCGGTAAATGTGTCTTTACAATTTTTATCGCTGACTTGACTACTGACTTTCCAACTCGAGGGTGCCTTTCACATCTCCAAATTTGTCTAACTAACTTATCATTTCTACGGCTTCTTAAATAATTGGCTATGGATACAACTGTATTATCATAAGTCATCTCTAATTGCCTGAGTCCTCTACCTCCTTCTTTACGACTCACATATAGCCTGTCTACATCAGCTCTAGGATGCAGCTGTCCATGAATAGTAAGCATCTTCCTTGTTTTACGATCTAGGTCTGCAATTTCCTTCTGACTCCAATCTATGATTCCAAAACTGTATTCTACTATTGGAACAGCTATACTGTTGATGGCTAGCAGTTTATTTCGTGCTGTTAAGTCTGAACGTAGTACCATCCTAAGCCTTCTTAGATATTCTTTACTGATGGTCTCTTTCATTTCATCATTACACAATTCTGGGTTTTCATAAACTCCAAGATATTTATAGCTTTCTCCAGCATCTAGGTTTTTGATGGTAATATTTGCCTGGACTGTTATGTTTTCCGTTTTTTCCACTTTTCCGTTCTTTATTGTCGCTTTGGCGCACTTTCTAATCCGAAGTTCATATGAATTGTGCTACTGAAGTCGTGAACTATCTTAATTTGCTCTTCAAGCGCTGTGTCCGAACTCGCGTATAGCTTTAAATCATCCATGTACAGAAGATGTGTTGTTGGCTGCTCATCTTTGAGTAGTTTATATCCCAATTTTGGCTTTTGATTTAGCATTCTGGACAGGGGGTACATCATCATGCAGAACAGGAGAGGTGATAGTGAATCTCCTTGGAATATTCCAGATTCGATTTTAATCTGCGGGGTATTATTGATAGGTGCATCCTTAGATTGTATCTTTAGCTGGGTGTTCCATTCCTTCATACTTTTTTCACACAGATTGATGATGTTTGGGTCAATTTTGAATATTTTAAGTATTTTCAATATCCACTGGTGTGGTACGCTATCGTAAGCTTTTTGATAATCTATCCAGCATAATGATAGATTTTTCTTTTACTGTGTACGTCCTTCATTATCTTTTTGTTATATAATAGTAGATCTTTACATCCGTATGAACCTTTGCAGCATCCTCGTGCTCAGCTGGAATCAACTGTTGAGCTATTAGGTGGTCATATATACGAGACGACATTATCCC